ATCTACTACCATTTAAAGCGTACCACTACCATGTGCATTTCTATCACCATGATACAGGCGATAATCGCTTTACACAATGCCTATTATTTTCTTGGTCAATAATTATTCAACTACTATTCTCGTATAAATAAACATAAAACTATCGACATTACACGAAGTATCTTTCACATTTTCCCTAGTCCGAACTATATATATATATATATATATATATATATATATATATATATATATATATATATATATATATATATATATATACCGAGGGGTCTATGGGGGGGTTATGACCCCCCCCTAACCCCCCCCCCCCCCCCCCTGCCTACGCCACTGCAAATAAGTATTCGCATAGCTTTAGAGTAGCGTCCCTTTTGTTTACATGTTTTCACTACCCTTCAAACAAAAGTCTATTTTAGTTATATTGAGATTAAAGAATGTAAATAAATAGTACACACAATTCTGTAGAATAGGAACGATTGGGAGGGAAGTGACATTTAGCGCAGGAAATTTAGAGGATAGGTAAGGTATAATAAATTGTGGGGTTAGGAAAGTTAAGGGGTCCATTTTCTAATAGGCAGTCTATGTCTCTTTCGTACTTTCGTGTTGGTTAATTGTCGAACCTGTCCTCACCTCACATCACAACAGTTGGCTGACGCTTACCGTGTAATGTTAAAATAAATAGCATGTAATTGAGTTAGCTCGAAGTGAGTTTTCATACAAGCCCAACGCACTAATTAAGGTTGTCGCAAAATGTAACATATTTGTAACATATGTCAATGATGTCATTGAATTTTCATTTTAAAAAAAAGATGTCTAGTACAGTTTACGAAACTTACGAACTTCGCCGATACGTTTTTGGTGGGTAGGTGGGTAAGTGGATAGGCGGGTAGGTGGGTATGTGGGTAGGTGGGTAAGTGGTAGGCGGGTAGGTAGGTAGGTAGGTAGGTGGGAAGGTGGGTAGATAGGTAAGTGTGTAGGTGGGTAGGTGGGTAGTAGGTAGGTAGGTAGGTGCGTCATGATGTGAAAAAAATATTAAATACATAATTGTTATTGTGGTGCGAATGAATGTTGTTACGAGAGATATGACGAATGCATGTTTGATGACGCGGATGAAAGAGAGTGAAGTTTTGCCATAGGAACGGGTTGTTATGGTATGCAAGCTAGGTAGTTCGGACTAGGGAAAATGTGAAAGATACTTCGTGTAATGTCGATAGTTTTATGTTTATTTATACGAGAATAGTAGTTGAATAATTATTGACCAAGAAAATAATAGGCATTGTGTAAAGCGATTATCGCCTGTATCATGGTGATAGAAATGCACATGGTAGTGGTACGCTTTAAATGGTAGTAGATCACGTGATCAAACACGACACTCTCACAGCAGCCCTAACAGTCATGTATAAATGTGTCATCTAGTCTATATGGTCTTTGTGCTAAACTTCTCTTTTGCACATTTTTCGTTGTTTTTCTGGTTGCGAATTTTTCTGTTTGCGCTTTTTTTCTGTTTGCCCTTTTTTCCGTGCGCGCTTTTTTCTGTGTGCGCTTTTTTCCGTTTGCGCTTTTTTCCGTTTGCGCTTTTTTCCGTTTGCGCTTTTTTCCGTGTGCGCTTTTTTCTCTTTGCGCTTTTTTCCGTTTGCGCTTTTTTCTCTTTGCGCTTTTTTCCGTTTGCGCTTTTTTCTGTTTGCGCTTTTTTCTGTGTGCGCTTTTTTCTGTTTGCGCTTTTTTCTGTGTGCGCTTTTTTCTCTTTGCGCTTTTTTCCGTGTGCTCTTTTTTCTCTTTGCGCTTTTTTCCGTTTGCGTTTTTTTCTCTTTGCGCTTTTTTCTGTGTGCGCTTTTTTCTCTTTGCGCTTTTTTCTGTTTGCGCTTTTTTCTCTTTGCGCTTTTTTCTGTGTGCGCTTTTTTCTCTTTGCGCTTTTTTCCGTGTGCGCTTTTTTCCGTTGCGCTTTTTGTTTTGCGCTTTTTTCCGTTGCGCTTTTTTCCGTTGTGGTTCTTTCCGGCCACCGCTAAAACGTACCCAAGTTAGTGGCCCGAAGCTCGCTCTATGTGTCATGTATACTTGCAGAATTAATTAGAACATACAGTGAGGGTCTTAACTAGAGCACATACTATGACTGTTATGGCAGTCTAAACAAGTATTTTACATATCTATGCATACTCTAAGCCTATCATTAATAAGACCACACATACATTGAGAATCTGCTACAAACAATACCTAAACCAGACAGATAACCTTAACGAACTATACAATGTCTAGATAGAACACACTGCACACAAACACAATTCACTAGTGGCGTCTTTAAAACGTGTGTTGCCTGTCACACGTCAACACAAAAACACGAGCATGTTTTATTGGCACTGGGTTTTACTCGCTTTAAAACGTGCACACAATACATGATTAGTTAACCCACTAAAACGTTATTTATAGAACAACTACCCTGCTTATGCAGCTGTTATTATCATTGTAATGATACCCAGTCTTATAGTTAATTTAGTCTGTCGCCTCAATACACTTGCTTGGCGCATTTATAATAAACAATACATTAGCCCTATCGCATCTGTTAAGTATATATCCCTTTGATTGTATTCTTATTTAATCACCGCGTTATTTTAATTTACTTACAAATTCAACAGCTTATTGTTTAACCCATGTAAGCCCACGTTGAAGCACTTCTCTATTTTTTTAAATCTAAGCGTTATTTGTTTTACTATAATGTATATGTATACAGTTCAATTTTGAACTAGGCAAAAATTTATTTATAATCGATGCAGGTTTTGGAAACTTCATCTAAAAAAACAAAATTCCAAAATTTGTGCTAGAAATGTAAATATTACTATTCAAAAATAAACCATTCGGAAAAAATTTCAGCGAAGTGAAATAGTTACGACCAGTGTTTCTTCCAGACTTTTTTCTCCGGGGGGGCACTTGAAATCTTCGGGGGGGGGGGGGGGGGGGGGGGGGGGCGGTAAACTTTCTTCGGGGGGGGCGGACACTGTTAAAAGTATATATTTTCTATATAAATTATATAAATTTCATTTCGTTCGGGGGGGCGTTTAATAATTTTCGGGGGGGCTTAGCCCCCCCGAAGAGATGCCTGGAAGAAACTCTGGTTACGACTCATGGAATCGTATATTTACTTACTGTTGCATAATAACCAGACATGGTAAATTTAAAAAAAAAAAACTATCCCGTCAAAACGGAGATCATTGTGTGTATCAACTCATAAGCTACAGAACAAATATTGATCCAGACGAATACGCTTATTCCCTACCTGCACAGGTGAAATGATTTCATCCTAAGCTATAGGGAACCATAAAATCGTCTCCACCCTCGAAAATTTCCCCTTCCCAGCATTACCCGTAACGCAACATTCATTTTAAACTCTAATTAATTAAACTTTTTTTAAAAATATGTACGTCTACGGTTATATTTTTGTGTACTTTTTTTTTCTAACACCCGCCACCTTCCAACTGAAGTGACACCATTTATACACCGTCCTCGGCCGTACGACTTGTTCTAAAGTCTTTTAAACATTTCAACACTCAGCCCCTTACAAATGTGGGGACACACAAAAACTATCGTGTGTGATGTTATTATGGAGCCCCGTTTTGTCGGGGGGCGGCTGTACACAACAGAATCCCCGTGACGGGCGCCGCAACAAAACGGGGGTTTCTCCTGCCCGTGTTTGTCGTACGTACCCCAGACTCTATTAAAACAGAAGACTCCGGTACACCGGCACCCCCTCCGTACAGTTCGCCGTGCGGCAGCGGCGTCAACAAAAGGAGGTGATGGAGTGTTTAGAGGTGCCTGTGTTTCGACGCTCTAGGAGAAACTGCCCAAGCTTTTTTTTCCCCCTATCTCAACGAGGTCTGAAAGCGCTATCCAAATGTTGAGACCCTTGAGAGGAAAAACTCGTTCACCTCGTCTGTTCATTGATTCTTGAGGTGTGTGGAAAGGTGTATGGAAAGGTGTGAAAGACCGCTGAGCAGGTGTGGAAAAAAAAACTACCCCCTCCCCGTTTTCCCCTCAGACACTTCACATCGCCCGTATTCCTCAATTGAGTTGTTAGATAAAAATTAACAAGAATTTTTTCTATAAGAATAAAGTAATTTGAAACAGTTTTTTTCCGCTTATTCTTTGTTTACAAATACATTGAAATGCTAAAGAAACATTGAGTACAAGTGTAGATTTTTGTGCAGTTATTTTGGTTAGCGCGAGGTGCATACAAGCTGGAGAGGACAGTACGGACCGCGCGCATGCGTAAACGATTCGATTACGAATTGGTAAGGAGTCTATTAAGCTGTGGATTTCCGGTGTCGAGGAAAATATCCTTGGAATTTACCTGTCTAAGCCCATCTGTTAGGGCTCTACAAGGGCATCAAAACAAGCGACAGGAGATGGGGGGGGGGGGGGGGGGGGAATAAAATGCACAGACAAGTGTCATCCAAATACCCACCCCACCCCTAAAAACAACTGATAAAATTATGGTCTCTGCTATAGTGCTATAAGTTTTGTGAGGATTCAGTCGCTTCGACAGCAAACACCTACACACACATTGCTCACTAAACACTCACGACCTTGACCTTCAGATAACAGTATTACAGACCCGCGAGATGGCACGTGCAAGATACTCAATAATTTCCTGGGGAATCGATACTTTGTGTGTGTCGATACGAGTTGTTTTCTAACACCGTAATTTTGTCTGGTGTGCTGACACACGTTGATACATTGTTTACTGACAACGTAAATCTGCTATTAAATCTTCAACGTGCTTGCCTGATAATCCTTATTTAGGCTTTGGTTAGATTAACACTTGAACTCTACTCCATCCATTTACACGTCCAGATATAGTTAGCCTTTAACTACTAAACATCAACTATTACAGTGGCTTTAATGCTTAAGAAATGTGTCATACTTTGAGAATCGTGTTACATGCGAATATTGTATATGTTAATGAGTATGTTAATGAGTATGCTAATGAGTATGTTAATGAGTTGCGAAGTACTCACCTGGTTGGCGTCTTCCAACCCGACCAGGGGGTTGGGGTGAAGGTTGAGCAGCGACGGGTCCTGTTCCAGACCTAGTCCGTGATGCGGCCCGTGGTGGAGCACATCCGGCCGCCGGAGGCCGGTCATATAGTCCGGGCGTCGTGTGTCGTAGCCCCCCAGGCCGGGGTGCATGTTGAGGGGGTCGTCCCGCCGGGCCAGGACATTCCTGTCGGGCGCGTGCAGCTGGTTGTAGTGCTGTGTCGTCTGCTGGAAGGGGTTGACGTGGCTGTAGGGGTCCACCTGGTGGTGGTGGAAGTCCACGGCCTGCTGGGGCTGGTAGGGCGGGGGGAAGTAGGGCGGCTGAAAGTCCGCGGCTCCCGCCGGCGTGTGGCTCAGTCGGGGAGCCGTTGAGAACGATCCGGAGCCGGAGCTGACTAGATGGCCGAACCCGCCGTGTGACCCCACAAGGTCCGGTCGACGGTCCTGAAAAAAATAATTTAAATCAGATTATGTAAACATAAAGAGTTACTGGCAGAGAAACGACTTGTCATGAAGGATTTTATCGGCGGTCATGTCCAATAGAACGACATGCTAATTACTAAGTCGATTTACATCCGTTTAGTATTCTTTAGACCTACAGATAAAAGTATTTACCAAGAAAATTGCGAATATTAAAGAGAACAAAACACACCTATCTGAACTTTGTTTTCAATTGACATCTTTTCAAAGTACAACAAGTTATGATATATCACATATGTATATATGCGCAGCTGTGCTATCTCCCAATACAACACTTCACCTCACCACTATCTTATCCTCTGCAGACAGACAATCTCAGACAGACAACCCATTGCCTTCCCAGAAAGTTTTTTTTTTCTGCCCAGACAAATGAGCCAGTGTCTTCCCATCGATCGGGGATATTGAAATCTATTCAAGCCATTTCCGTGTCGGGGACTGGCTAAGGCTGGCCATTACACAGACATTATAGTGTTAGAGTTTTCTCACACTGTTGTATGCTGGGGGTGGGGGGGGGGGGGGGGGGGGGGATCGATTGGGGACGTCCAACAATTTTTAGTCATCTTGACAAAAGTCACAATCTTTTGGACCAAGTCACAGTCATGAGGACCAAGTCACAATCATAACTAAGACACTATCGTGTTGCCAAACCCAAAAAAAAAAAAAAAACTAAAATAAAAACCCAACAAATAGTCATCCATAGTAAATTAATGAAAATTTAAAATTTTTAGCACAACATCGCCCCCCTCCCCCCCCCCCCCCCCCCCAATAATAATGCCACGGGTTTCTGACAAAAGGGGAGGGGGGGACCCTCTAAGCACCCACCTCCACTTTTTTTACGCTACTTTTAACAGCTTATTTACGTCATTAAGTCTAACTACACTAATTAGTTAGGTAAAGTAAAAAAAAAACATTCTAGAACATTAGATACTATTAGAGGCCCAATTAAACGACAGCAATTCTCATGTGATTAGGTATTACCAACCGGATTTTAAATTTGACTTCATCAAGTCAAGACTGATAGACTTAACGGGTCACGTGGTGCAGGTCATATTGTTCCAGCCACGACCCAGCTAGGACCTGCGGGAACGAAACCCACTGGGAACATCCCGAACTGGGAGAAACACTAGACATTTGGAGAGGTGCGCTGAATGGGAATTATGGGAAGATGGGAAGATGGGAATGGTGGGAAACAGGAAGTCATCATCCGAGTAATTAAAACCGTAATAAGTTTGACATTTTTTTTTTATTTTTTTTTTTATTCCATCAGTAAAAAAAAAATTAAATGGAAGCGGCTAATTAAGCTAAAAGGATGGCTTTTTGTAACCGCTGAACCGACCCTGATTGAACGCAATGACCCGTAACCAATACGATACGGTACATTGAAATCCTGCTGCATGTATGTGTGTGTATGCGTATGTGTATTTATGTATGCACGCTAACCCGAAAGTCTCGAGTTCGAATCCGGGTCCAAGTCAGTAGAACATCCTTGAGTCCACCCAACTCTAAATCGGTACTTAACCCGTGTTAGGGAAAGTAAAGGCGGCTGGTCAATATGTCGACCACACCTTCCCTTCATATGCGGAGGTCAAGAAACATGTGGACTCTACTTCATCTGCCAAATGGATCGCTATAAAGTTATAGAAAAACCAACAAATACGCCATGATCGAGAAAAGTTTACGGATGACTGACTTTCGGCATTTAATAATAAATGTTCAATGACCGTAAAGACGGATCTATTAGTGTAAACTACTGAGCCCGTTTTAAACTAGATGGGTGTGGTAGGTAACAGGTTGGTCGTAGGTGGGGTGGGGGTGGGGGGACACGTTAATGATGACTAACGTTTCGGTTGACTGAGCTATTGACACGCGGATGTAGGGGGAGATCAGGGAGCAGGATGTGGAGATCAAAGGTCATTAACCGAAACATTCATAGATTTGTGTTGTCTAGGTGCACTCAATAAACAGGGATTGGATCTGAACTAAAACGTCCTGACTAGTTGGAAAACTCCATCAGGGGATGGGATCAGTCTAGACTAGACCATAAACACATTAAAATTATTGCAATGGTTTCGATAAGTACAGTACATTTAAAAAGCTGATTTTTTAGACTATTAAATCTCATGCGTGACTGTTGAAAGGAAATAGCAACAGCAGTGTCAACATGTTTGTGTTGGGTAAGATTTGTCCCGCATGTGTTCGAGAAATCTGACTTAAGCCATCACCGCTTTTACAGAGAATGGGCAGGTAAACACTGGGTGAGGTACCAAGATGGCAGACGACGGATGGTACTGGGGTAGGGGGGGGGGGGGACTGGTCAAAATAACTATAGGTCTACTTGTCTACGGGAAAGATAAGGTCTAATAGTCTACGGGACATAGAAGGTCAATTAGGCTAAGGGACAGATAAGGTCAACTAGTCTACGGGACAGATAAGGTCTACTAGTCTACGGGGCAGACAGCTTGTGCCAACACAGTCCAAAAATACTTAACAACACAACACGAATATCCCTATTGTGCTATTTGCATTTACAAGGACAAAGGAAAAAAACAAGACGATATTTGCTGTCTCAAATTGAACTTAAGAAAATGTTCTATGTCTCCTGTCGTGATCGTTTCGTTATAAATAGGGATCTGTCATTCCACTGATAGACGTTTCTTAGATTGAGAATTTTTTTTAATCTTCCGTTCATGTCAACAGATTATCGTTCGTTGTATTTCAGTTCCCAGAAGTCAGCGCACATCCGGTTGTGACATTGACGATTTGTACATCAGTCATGCTCCTGGGGGGATGGGGGGGGGGTGAAAATGCTGTTCCCGACATGACAACGAACGGGGTCCGATACGACAACAGAGGGGTCCGATACGACAACAGAGGGGTCCGATACGACAACAGAGGGGTCCGATACGACAACAGAGGGGTCCGACACGACAACAGACGGGGTCCAACAAGACAACAATTGGGGATCGACACGAAAACAGACGGAGTCCGACACAACAACAGACGGGGGTACCGACACGACAACAGAGCTGAGATCTACGCTAGTCAAACTCCTATCAGATGAGCCAGTAGTGGGGCTGACATGTTACCGGTGTATACCAAATCAGAACACACGGTGTCACTCAATGCTTATGCTCCAGGTTTTTTTTTTACTTGCTTGTTTAGTGTAGATTGGGGGTGTGGGGGGTGGGGCGTCAAACGGTCGGTGCCAGGCGTCTGCGGTTCCAGATCTACGTGGGGTGTCGAGTTATGACGACCGTAAACACACGCGTTAGTTTTTTCATCCGTCCAATGTAAACTATTTGGTTAATAGAGTGTAGACAGGGGTGGAGTGGTTTATGGTAGAAGGGCGAGGGTACGGGGTGGGGGTACACGGTGGGGTGGGGGTTAAGGTGTAACAAATTTATACGGAGGTTTAGGGGAGTAATGAATCTATGTTTATTAAATATAGTGACATTGCTTTGCTTGACGTTAGTAAATACTAGGCTGAGATGGATTTGATCCACCGTCCTCTAATGGTACTCGTTTTATTACAAACATACCGATGTTAACTTTTTTAACCTCTTTAGATATATGAATATTTGGAATTGAAATTATTAGAACTTGTAACTTGCTTATCGTATAATTTTATAAAGCTTGATTAATACGCATTTTTAAAAATCACAAATCATATTTTAAAATATTCAAAATAAAAAGTCTAGGTAAGATATATTCAGAAAAAAGTTCATGACAATCTCTTTTTCTTCAACGTAGTTATTTATATTATCTAAATCGGAGAAGTCAAACATCAAGACCAACGTCATTGTCGAACTGGGGGGAAAGGGGGGAGGGGGTGTCTCCAAATGTGCGGGCTCCCAATTATTGATCATGAAAGTCTATATATTTTTTTAATGTAAAAAAAAATTCATAATTGCCAATTAAGCTGAGTTAATTAGAAATATTATCGAGGCCAACTTCCAGTCACTTTTCCCAAAACGCAATGAAAATCTCAAAATCTCTTGGTCCAGCGGTCACTCACGCATGGCCGAACACCACGCAAATAGCCGACATCCCCCCCCCCCCCCCACCATTAAAATACCACACCAAATTTTCACACCCCTAAACTTTAAAAAAAAAACTTGAAATACACTTCCCTTTGGAATTAAAAGATTTTTTTTTCCTCCTAAACTGCTCCAAAGTTCACGGCCATAACAGTGCGATATTGTAAAGAGCAAACAACCCTGCTCTGCTCCTCTTCAATAGCGAGAGGACGCCTCGAGGCGCTTCCGAGGGATGAGATCGGGTGGGGTGGGGACGGTCGGGATCGGTGTGTAAGAGAATTAGATATTTTTAAAGTGTTCTTACAACATTAAAAAAAATTATTTGTTTTCTTGTAATCGATAGAGGTCTTTCGACACAGTAAATAAGGCATATCTGGTGCAATTTACACACTGTGATGTTTGTATGTGTGTGTGTGTGGCGGGAGGGGGAAGCCTTGTGGAAATCAAAGAGGACCGTGTGTGTGTATACATGTGTGTAATTGTATGGGTGTGTTATGGTGAAGGAGAGGGGGGGGGGGTGAAGATGAGGTCAATGCGACCTTGTGTAGCGAAATGTTAAGTCAAGAGACACACCTGGTCCCTTGTTGAGTATTCGTCTAGGGCTGGCTTCTTGACAGGTGAACTACGGCTAACTCGCAACACAGGTAGCGGCACAGCAACCTATATAGGTGTACACACGACCAATGTAACCTACCTATATAGCTGTACACACTGGCTGTCAACAACACAGCAACCTATATAGCTGTACACACCGGCTAAGTCAACAACACAGCAACCTATATATCTGTACACATTGGCTGTCAACAACACAGCAACCTATACACACCGGCTGTCAACAACACAGCAACCTATATAGCTGTACACATTGGCTGTCAACAACACAGCAACCTATATAGGTGTACACAGTGGCTGTCAAAAACACAGCAA